CTGGCCCCTGGGTCTGAGGGAGGAGGCAGGGCCTGAGCTCCTGTCCCTGAGGCAGCCTCACCGTCAGGGCTGGTGGTGGTGCCCCAGCCAGAGACAGTGCATGTGGTGCCCGGGGGTTCGCAGCTGGAGGGCAGGTCGACCTTCTTCACTTTCGACGACAGCCTGGCCCGGCTGTTCAGCCTCACAAGCATGAGGTCGTTGGCGTGGGTCTTGGTGGAGTAGCCAGGGTGTCGGAAGGACTTTGAGGCCCTGATCTTCTGGGCACTCTTGTCCCCCAGCCGATCGCTGCCCAAGTGCACGTTGTACTCACTGGGAGAAGGAAGTGACATTCAGAGACCTGACAGAGGGAAAGGGACAGGGACCCAGAGAGGGGTGGAGGCCTGGCTGCCCATCCCCCCGTCCCGTCCCCCCCCCCCCCCCCCCCGCCGGCCGCGCCCGGGGCCACCTGCCTCATCCTGCAGTGGGCAGCGGTGAGCACCCAGCGCTCGTCCAGCAGCACGCCCCCGCAGTGCAGCTGGCTGTTCTTGAGCAGGGCCACCTGCCACGGGTGGGAGCCTCTTTCACACGGGAAGCCATCGATGATCTTGTCCCCACTCTTGTCACCCTGATCTGAGGAGAAACGTGGAGACACGTGCGTGAACGGCAGCAGAGGGGGGCGCGGCGGCCGCCGGGACGCAGGGCGGGGATGGAGACCCCGGGAAACGCACCGCGGATGGAGGACATTCTCAAAGCCCGCGGGAGCGTCTCATCCCAGGCYGAGAGGATGGAGAGACGCTGAGGGGAGGAGACAGGGCCCTGGGCAGGCAGGGGCCCCTGGAGTTGGGAGGAAGCCAGGCAGCCCCCCAGGGGAGGAAGATGCCCGGGAGGAGGGAGCGCCGACCCAGGGATTRCTTGGAGAGTTCAGGGGGGACGCGGGGAAGGGCCTCACCATCTTGTCCAGCAGTCCCCAGGGCTAAGGACAGCAGTAGAATTAGCAAGGACGGGAGAAGGGATCCCTCCATGGTGCCTCTCAGGGACTGCCAGATGAGGACTGGCCCCTGCTGGATCTGAGAAGGGGAGAGAGTTCAGGACACAGGAGTTCAGCTCAACTCTAACTCTCAGGCCCAGGAGTCCAGCCTCCTCCCTCAGAC